GATTCCAACTCAAAGCAACCCCATCCACACCAAACTCACTGCCATCGAGGCATCTGACTCATCTCAACTGTATAGGACAGGGTAGAACTGCCTCTTTGGGGTTCACTGCAATGTAATTCTCTACAGAAGGAGTGTGGTAGTCACCTAATCTGGTTGTGGGAAACAGAAGAATTTCTCCCAAGTTGTCTCCCCCAAATCTATACCAAACTTAGCTGCTGGCGAATGACTACACACTTGGAGGTCATCAGAAGTAGGTCAGGGTTATTATCCCTAAGGGTTATCAGACATCTAGACCAAGCAGACACCACTGTTTGTCCCACAACAAATAGATCCCACCCCCTTCTGATAAGGATAGTAGTTGTCTGTTTCCTTGTAGGAGACCCCAGAGAGGTCAAAACCCACGGAAGGATGACCAAGCTTAGGCTGCCATCATGAATCTAGGGTCCACCCATCTTGTCACATGTATACCCCTAGACCTTCCCATTCCTATGGGCACACCCTTAGCTCATCCCTTCCTGTCATGCTTATGCCTCTCATACATCCCCTTCCTACAATGTGTATGCCTATTGTACTGCCCCTTCCTGTGACGTGTGGTTACCTGTAATCATGTCCCCCTAAGGAGATATAACCCTTGGTTAGCAATAAAGTAGGGGCTCTCTGCTGCTCACAGCCGGGCTCCCCCACGAGGACCACCAAGTGGGGCTGAAGTGAGCATGCTACCATGAATTGTGTCTGACTTCATTACTTGACTCTCATGCTCTCTATGACCTTACTATAATCTTTACTTATTATCGCTGTACAGTTGCGCCTACTGGACCTGTGATGATTTGTTGGGGACTCTCCTCTCCCAACATCTGGTGTCAATTTAAGGATTAAGAGTGAAGGGGTGGAAAAAAAGAGAGCGTAGGGGTAGAGTCTAGGCTGTCAATCTGGAGATAGCAATGAGACTTCTGTGGGCATGGCCTTCTGAGAATTTTGGGAAATCTGGTGCTTCCTCCTTGGAGGCGGAAGACACTCTCTCTCTCTCTCTCTCTCTGCTACTCCTTGGGAGACATTGCAGAAGACAAGCCACATGGATGAAGCCAGACCTCTGAAGCCAGAGAAGCCACAGAGAGATCCCTGCCAGCTCTGAGATGCTTACAA